GCCACAAGTTCTACACAAGTTCCGACTGGACAGAGTGAGGGTCATCTTGATCGCTGCTTTCTGACCCAGACAGTTCTGGTTCCCCAACCTCCTGCTTATGTCATCTTGCCCACCAATTATACTTCCGACATTCCCCAAGCTCCTGACCCACTGCAACATCAAGATCAAACACCTCAATCCACGACCATGCCACTTCAGGTGCATGGGCATCATTAAGGTTAAGATTTTGTCACGGTTATTTGTAGTAAAAGTCAGGGACAGATCACAGGCAATAAACAAAAATTCACAGAAGCTTATGACCTGTCCCTGACTTCTTCTACAAATAACCGTGACAAAATGGATTGATGAGAGCCCGAGCCCTGCTGTGGGAGTGGGGCGGGGCACATCCAGCACCCACTGCATCTTGGAGTTGTGGAGTCAGTGGCTGGGAGCTGCCAGGTTCCCCCGCTGCCTGTGGCGGCTTGGAGCTGCAGGGGCTGCCCCACGGTGGCTTTGAGCTCCAGGGCCAGCATCTGGGAGCTGCCAGGTTCTCCCATTGCCCACAGCAGCTCAGAGCTTTGGGCCATTGGCTCGGAGCTCCGGGTCCCCCTATTGCCTGCAGTGGCTCAGAGCTGCAGGGGCGCCCTCTTCCAACTTCCCGCGGCAGCTGGGAGCTGCCAGGTTCACCTGCTGCCTGCAGTGGCTGAGAGCTCCAGGGGCGCCCCACTGCCCACGGCAGCTGAAGCTGAAAATGTCTCTGAGGTCTCTGGCAGTCACAGAATCCATGACCTCCATGACATAATCTTAGCCTTAATTATAGATAGGTGCCAAAGGAGTCAGTCATCCTGTTCTCTAATGGTGTTTGGTGTCCTGCAGCAGACACAACTAGTACCCCATCTTGTGCTTTGTCTGTTAGGACATTGATCTATAACAGGGGTTGGCAACCTATGGCACACGGGCCAAAGATGGCACATGAGCCAATTTTTAATGGCACGCTGCTGAGTGCCCGAGTCCCGAGGACACGCAGCCAGTGAGGGGCAGAGCCCGCGCCACCCCAGAGAGGAGCCGCCTCAGCGGCCGGCCTGTGGGTTCCCACGTCCCCTCACCCGGCGAGGAGCCCTGCCCGCGGGTGCGGAGGGGTCTGCTCACCTGGGCCACCTTGGTATAGCTGGCCATGGTGGATTGGGGGTGCGCTGGGGGACCGGGTTCGCTGCCGGACTCGGTCCCGACTCCCAGCGGCAGTAAGCGGGGGCGGTGGAGGTGGGAGAGGTCGGCGGCGGCAGCAGCGCTGGCTGCTGAGCATCCCGGGAGGAGGCACCCAGCCGTAGCCATGGATCAGTACTTGCTGGGAGGAGCGGAGAGCTCCGCGGCCCGGCAGCGCTGAGCGCACAGCAGGTGTGGGCGAGCGGGAATTGGTGGTGGCCAGAGAGCCCTGGGGTGAGGAGCTCGCATACCGCGGGGTTATGCGCCGCCCGGAGCAGCTCCTCCAGACACAGCCAGAGGGGACTCTCTCGCCGGGGGGCGCTAGTTGCACTCGTGTGGTGCGCCGCAGGGCCCCGAGTGGGTGAGCCAGCTGGGGGCCGCAGGAGTGGGGGGAGCACTCTGCCCTGACCCCCCCCACACACATGCCCTCTGCCCCTGAGCCCTGTGCCCTGCACACACCCCTGAGCCCTGTGCCCTGAGCCCTGTACCCCCCTCACACACACCCAGCCCTTTGCTTGACTCCTTCACCCCCCCCCCCACGACCCCAACCCTGACTCTGGCACCCCCTCACATGCCCCCAGCCCTCTGCCCTGACTTTTGCACCCTTCCACATACATAGCGCCCCCACCCCCCATGCACCCCCCACCCCCACCCTGAGCACCAAAGGGGAGCTCCTGCACACCCCCCACATTCCCACCTGCACCCCTCGCACAAAACTGGAGCTCCTGCCCCCCCCCACCCCACATTCTCTCCTGCCCCAACCCTGAGCCCCCTCCCTCATTCTAGCTCCTGGCCAGACCCTTCATTCCCAGCCCTGTGCTCAGTGCACTCCCATCCTCCGCTCACTGCAGAGAGAGGAAGAGAATGGGCCAGAACCAGGGAGAAGGTAGGTACCCACTGTATGTGGGCAGGGCCGGGACCCCAGACCGGCAGCGGGCTGAGCGGGTCCGGCAGCCGGCATCCCGGCTGGCAGGAGCCGGCGGATGGAACCCCTGAGCGGTAGTGGCCTGTGGGGCCCTGCCACCGGCCCCGAAAAACAGCCCACTGCCGGTCTGGGGTTCTGGCTACCGTACCCTTTCCAGCTGGGGTCCCGGCCACAGGCCCCGCTCAGCCCGCTGCCGGCCTAGGTGAACAGGACCCCAGACCAGCAGCGGGCTGAGCGGGCCGGCGGCGTAAGCTCAACATTTTAATTTAATTTTAAATGAAGCTTCTTTAAACTTTTTGAAAACCTTGTTTATTTTACAATACAACAATAGTTTAGTTATATAATATATAGACTTATAGAGAGAGACCTTCTAAAAAACATTAAAATGTATTACCGGCACGCGACACCTTAAATCAGAGTGAATAAATGAAGACTCGGCACACTACTTCTGAAAGGTTGCCGACCCCTGATCTATAAGCATTCAACATCATTTGCTTCTGAGTTGTTAGTGACACAGAAATAGGTAATGCTATTTTTGACAGAGTACCATTCTCCCTCCCGTCTTGCCCACACAATCCTTCCAGCCTCTTTGCTTAAGCTTCTTTCAGTTGTATTCTTTGCTCAGCCTGAGCCCATTATCTTAACTCCTCCTTGTGTTGAATGCTTCATCTTTGCAAGGAAAGGCCATTCTCTCTAAGCCAACACCAAAATTGCTCACATCTTGTATTGTGAAAATATAGGTTTCAGAGTAGCAGCCGTGTTAGTCTGTATCCGCAAAAAGAACAGGAGTACTTGTGGCACCTTAGAGACTCACAAATTTATTAGAGCATAAGCTTTCATGGGCTATAGCCCACTTCTTCGGATGCAGATAGAGTGGAACATATATTGAGGAGATATATATACACACATACAGAGAGCATGAACAGGTGGGAGTTGTCTTACCAACTGAGAGGCCAATTAAGTAAGAGAAAAAAACTTTTGAAGTGATAATCAAGATAGCCCAGTACAGACAGTTTGATGAGTGTGAGAATACTTACAAGGGGATCAAAAAGGCTGACAAAGGAGGTGCTGTCGTCATCATGAATAAGTTGGAATATGACCAAGAGGCTGCTAGACAGCTCTCTTAACTCCACATTCTACAGGCCATTATCCTCTGATCCCACTGAGGATTACCTTTTAAGAAGCTCAGCACTCTTTTCCTAGATCGGAACAGAACACAGATGCTTCACACTTCTATTTTTTGTATTAATTGAGCACCTCAGAGCCCTTGTCATGGACCAGGACCTCACTGGACTAGGTATTGTACAAACACTTGACAGAGATGGTCCCTGCCCCGGAGAGCTTACAGCCTAAGCTCATTTATAGTTAACTGAGTGAGATCTCATGTGGGCTACATTTGAAGAGTTTATTTTCAGGATCATCGATTATTTTTTCACCCATTCTTCATAACTGAAAGTTTCTCCTTCAGTAAGGGCTGACAAATCATGTTCTGCTAGAAAATTCCATATAAAACAACCATTTTTCAAATTGGCTGACATCTCTCATTGTTCTCAGGGGATTGAGGTCATAACTTGTCCACAGTTGGGTGGGTCTCTTGAGAGGGGCATCTATCCTCCTTTGTTCTTGATGGGACAGAGGCTATAGGCAGGTCTTAGCAAAGATGGCTGGCTTCCCCTTCCCCCCCCCCGAAACAATGGTAATCAGAACCATTTTGAATGAGAGCACCTAAACTGAGGCCTGCTGTGGACACGCTCCCATTGAGAATAGTGGAAGACTTGTCATTTTAAGAGGGCAATTCTCCATGCATTTCTCTGAAGATTTTTATGCACTAGCCTCAGCTGACAGAAACTTTTAGATATGAAAAATAATGGTAGACAATACTATTAATCCTAAATCTTCCATTTCAAAAGCTGTCCAATTGTACCAAGTCTACTCAGCAGAGAGGAGAGTAGGAGTAACTGGGTCAAGGACTGCCCCATAATAACACAAGGGGAAAAAATAATCAAATGTGTCTTTCAAATCCATTTCAATTTTGGACAAGATACACTGAAATGTCTCTCTCATATGGATAAGGCATGGCATTGCTATAGGGGAAGATTGTCTGAGTGCACTATGTGCAGTTCTTAACTCGGCATGTTGGGATTTTGAAGTTAAGGGTAAACTTAGAATTTCCTACATTTATAATGCTTGATTTGGGAATTATTGTAGCATCTCAGTAATGTATTTTATCCTGAATTACTTACATGTACTCTCAACCTTACTTCCGTCTTCAGGTAATTTGTCCGGGAATATAAATAGGTTTACAGCTTCAGTTCTAGAACGTCTTGAAGCCTGTTCACTCAGAATTTGTGGAAGCAAGCATTCAGCATGCTTTATGTAGATTCCTGTATCTAAGATCTACAAATACAAACCCTGTTCAGTGCAAACCTCCAATTACCATTAATATTGCAAATACAGTCTAATGGAGGTAGGTTTCCAACTCATTAAAAGTCAATGGCATTTGAGTGCCTAATGCCTAGGCATATTTGAAAATGATACTCCAAATCAGTTGTGTGCTTTGGTAAGGCTGTCCTAACTCAAGGCCACACTAGCTAGTTTCCACGAAGAGAGCGTCCACTGTGGAAGTATTTCATGAAGGACAAAATGAAGGTGTTCTGAGTTCTGTACACTCCTGTATTGGCTTTATAGAACCACGCACATCCCTCTTTCACCGTGCTTATATCCAGAATTGCTGCTTACAGGTAGGTGATCAGGAACTTTGAGGTAGGGTTGTGTTCTGTTTGTGTTCTTCATATATCGATCGATGAAGACTGGGCTTTCAAAGGCAATCTTTTTGCTGTATTTCACTCACTGCAAAGTCAACTTTTTTCTTTCCCTTTTTATATTTTTCTAGTGATGTTTATTTATCCTCAAGGGACAGACAGATACTTGACTGGCATTTTGCAAATCTAGAATTTGCTAATGCCACACCGCTGTCTACACTTTCATTGAAGCACTGGGACCAGGTACCTAATTAATAAATTCTCTAAAATAGTGCTCATAGATTTAGCACATGCACGGGGGAGGGATAGCTCAGTGGTTTGAGCATTGGCCTGCTAAACCCAGGGTTGTGAGTTCAATCCTTGAGGGGACCTCTTAAGGTTCTGGGGCAAAATCAGTACTTGGTCCTGCTAGTGAAGGCAGGGGGCTGGACTCGATGACCTTTCAAGGTCCCTTCCAGTTCTAGGAGATGGGATATCTCCATTAATTTATTTTTTTATTTTATTTCATTCTGACATGTTTCTGTATGTTAGCAAGCATTTCTAAGAGATTTAAATGTCATGTACCTCAGCATTATCCCTTCGACTCTCATTCTAGATTCTACAGGATATTAACAGAGAGTTCCAGAGGGTTCTGTTAATACCCAAACGGATTATAATTAGTTATCTGTTTTATAGGAAAATAGTCTATACCAATTATTTTACCAGTAATACTATGAATTTTCTTCTTGTAATTAAGTTAGCTACAGCACTTTAAGTGGAAAAGTTCCCCATTTATTTAACTCTGTACTGACTGATCTGTTTTGGTTATAAACTTATGTATTTTTATATATTTCATTTTAGGATGATGATTTTGAATTCACAGGCAGTCATCTGACTGTGAGAAATGGATATTCCTGTGTGCCTGTAGCCTTGGCAGAAGGGTTGGATATTAAATTAAATACAGCAGTTCGACAGGTTCGCTACACAGCTTCAGGTAAATCAAGCTCTCTAACTTTGTAAGTTACACTACCAAGGAGCACTGTCCTTTGACAATTGCCTCTGTTCCTCTCTCACAGGATTCACACACTCTTGACACCATGAGCACAGAGCCATAGAAAAGCAAGGCCTGTAGGGCCTGAACTCTTTAGGAAGCTTTAACAGGTTTACAAATAATAATTTTTCGTTGCTTGTTTTTTTAGTTGTGTGGGCTCTGCATCATGTTGCAACTTGAGTTGCTCATGTCCCAAGTACATCATGACCTGCTGATTCCCATTCATAATGGGATTAAGGTAAATGCGGTAAGCATCCTAGCCTATGCTGGCTCTGACAATAGGAATTCAGTGGGAGAGCATTGCGCTACTCAGAAATGTCCATCACAGACCAGCACATTGTTCTCCAAGGCACAGTTCAATTTGTGCAAGATTTACTCTGTGGGCCTAAAATGAGACCAAGCAGCATGGGTAGAATCATAGGTTATGTCTACGCTAAGGACCTTACAGCGGCACAGCTATGCCGCTGCAAGGTCTCCAGTGGTAGCTATGTCGGCAGGAGAGCCTCTCTTGGTGACATAGCGCTCTCCACCCAGGCGCTTTTGTCAGTCGGTGCATACCTCGACTGACAAAAGTTTTACCGACAAAAGTGCTAGTGTAGACATACACAAATTGTTAGAAGGGACTGCAATGGTCATCTAGTCTAACCCTCTGCCAAGATGCAGGATTTGTTGTGTCTAAATCATCCAAGACAGATGGCTATTCAGCCTCCTTTTGAAAACTTCCAGTGAAGAACCTTATAAAGTATCATTTATAATAACTTGCTGGTCAATCTCATCGTCGGGAAATGTATGTCACAACATTGTTTGCGAAGTTATAAAATTCCCCTGTATAATGATGTTAGCACACGTTCCAAACCCCACAGCCCTGCCGAGGCAGAAGTCAGCAAACAGGTCTGTCCTGAGCAAGGGAATGTGTATTTGACTTAATTTGCATTTAAACAGTCATCAATCAGAAAGAAGGAAGGGAGAAAACCTGCATGTAAGCATACACAGGTGAAAGAACCCAGGGCAAGCATCCTTCCATCCTAGATACATTTTCCAGCTGAGAATAAGGAGACATGCTTTTCAAAAGAAGGAGTGAAGCTATAAAAAAGGAGGGGGCAAACACCAAGTTACTTCTTTCTTCCTGTCCGTCTCCCTCTTTGGACCTTAGAAGACAAAAGAAACCGCCGTTGAACTCTGAGCGAGGGGTTTGGACGTCCTCGAAGCATGTGGTCAGAAACTTAGCTTTGAGTCTAATATAGTTTGAGTCTATTATAGTATGGTTGGAAAACCGTTCCCAGAGAGTAATCCTCAACAGTCAAGCTGGAAGGGCATATCGAGTGGTGTCCTGCAGGGATTAGTCCTATGTCTGGTTCTGTTCAATATCTTCCTAAATGATTTAGGTAATGGCACAGAGAGTACAATTATAAAGTTTGTGGCTGATACCAAGCTGGGAGGAGTTGCAAGTACTTTGGAGGATAGGATTAAAATTCAAAATGATTTGGACAAACTGGAGAAATGGTCTGAAGAAAATAGGATGAAATTCAATAAGGAAAACTGCAAACTACTCCACTTAGGAAGGAACAATCAATTACGCACACACAAAATGGGAAATGACAGCCTAGGAAGGAGTACTGCGGAAAGGGATCTGGGGGTTATTGTGGCTCACAAGCTAAATAGAAGTCAACAGTGCTTCATTCCGAGCTGATAAGACCTCAACTGGAGTATTATGTCTATTTCTGGGCACCACATATTATGAAAGATGTGGACAAATTGGAGACAGTCCAGAGAAGAGCAAAAAAAATATTAAAGGTGTAAAATACATGACCTATGAGGAAAGATTGAAAAAATTGGGTTTGTTTTGTCTGGAGAAGAAAAGACTGAGGGGGGACATAAGTTTTCAAGTACATCAAAGATTTTTTACAAGGGGGGGGGAATTGTTCTCATTCAAACGATGAATATAGGCAAACAACACAGGAATGCAGGGGCAAGATTAGAAAGGCAAAGGCACAAAATGAGCTCAAACTAGCTACAGGAATAAAGGGAAACAAGAAGTATTGATAAAAAGTCATTAGAAGCAAGAGGAAGACCAAAGACAGGGTAGGCCCACTGCTTAGTGAAGAGGGAAAAACAGTAACAGGAAACTTGGAAATGGCAGAGATGCTTAATGACTTCTTTGTTTCGGTCTTCACTGAGAAGTCTGAAGGAATGCCTAACCTAGTGAATGCTAATGGGAAGGGGGTAGGTTTAGCAGATAAAATTAAAAAAAAGTTAAAAATCACTTAGAAAAGTTAGATGCCTGCAAGTCACCAGGGCCTGATGAAATGCATCCTAGAATACTCAAGGAGCTAATAGAGGAGGTATCTGAGCCTCTAGCTATTATCTCTGGAAAATCATGGGAAACAGGAGAGATTCCAGAAGCCTGGAAAAGGGCAAATATAGTGCCCATCTATAAAAAGGGAAATAAAAACAACCCAGGAAACTACAGACCAGTTAGTTTAACTTCTGTGCCAAGGAAGATAATGGAGCAAGTAACTAAGGAAATCATCTGCAAACACTTGGAAGGTGGTAAGGTGATAGGGAACAGCCAGTATGGATTTGTAAAGAACCAATCATGTCAAACCAATCTGATAGCTTTCTTTGATAGGATAACGAGCCTTGTGGATAAGGGAGAAGCTGTGGATGTGGTATACCTAGACTTTAGTAAGGCATTTGATACGGTCTCGCATGATATTCTTATCGATAAACTAGGCAAATACAATTTAGATGGGGCTACTATAAGGTGGGTGCATAATGTTATTAATGGTTCCCAATCCTGCTGGAAAAGCATAA